TTTTTTTTTTTTATTTCTTCGCATGTGCGGTAATAAGTTTCTTTCATTACATATCTTGTTGACAGGTTCATAGATTTAGTATGAAGGTTCAAGTTGAAAAAAATTTGGCGAACGAAATGAATTTTGCAAGTGTTTACTTAAGTCTGGAAACAATACGAAAAGTTATTTTATTGTTTGTACTTCGTAAAGGTTCAATTGTTTTTTTTAAAGTTGTTTCACACTTTTTATAATACATACATAATTGTTTAATTCAGTATTACAACTGTCTTTTTAAAAAAAAAAAAAAAAAAAAAAGAAGAATAATACAAAATAATACTTTGATGAAGAGTCAAACTTTGGCCAAACAATCGTATGTATACCTTCACGAACTACCCAATAGGTGTAGGGAAATAATCATCGTGCGCTGAGGATAAGAGATAAATTTTGTAAATTTGCTCGATGGAAATGTTGTAGCCTTTGGCAGCCTACCGAGGCGTGGACAATGCCAACAGGCTACTGGCCGTGATCGGGATCGCCAACGCCGTGGGCCGAATCGCACTCGGCTACGTGTCCGACAAACCCTGGATCAACCGATTGTTGGTCTACAATATGTGCCTCACTGTTTGCGGAATAGGTAACCACATATAAAAAAAAATAAAAAAAATGAAAATGTTGCAAATTCGTGGTTCATCTTCCTCACAGCTACGGCTCTCAGTCCATTCTGCAATTCCTTCGTTACTTTCGCGATTTACGCCTCGGTGTATGGATTTACGGCTGGTGCCTACGTCGGGCTTACCTCGGTCTGTCTGGTCGATCTGGTTGGTTTGGACCGTCTGACCAACGCCTTCGGTCTGGTCCTGCTGTGCCAAGGCATCGCCTCTTTTCTCGGCCCGCCACTGGCTGGTAAGTCTTTGGGTTGTCTCTGTCCAGAAAATCAGGTCTGAATCACGTATGATTTTCTGTAAAAACTACTCAATGTGTTTTTTAAAAGTATATTTATGTACGAACGATCGGTTGCTTTATTTTGATGAGCGATAAAATCGTAAACAGGTATTTAGTATCGTACACTAAAATCTCTCTCGAACTGAAAAATATATATCAATTTTTAGATGTGTTTTAACGTGATCATAAATGGGTATTATCGAGACTTATAAATGTAGTTTCTCATTTTTAATGATTTTTTTTTCAAATCAGTACGTTAAAACATTTGCTCTGCTACAAGTCCAACAAATGATGGTCTTTTCTTGTGTATCGTTTCACTCTTTTGATCGGTACATACAATAATTTTTCTCTTTCATGGCTCCGTGTTTAAAAGATATTTTCAACGAATTTGCACACAAAAAAACGTTAATTTTTGCGGGAACTGATTGTTATGAATTGAAATTTTTTTTGTTCAGACCTCATTACTGGATCCAACTAGTAATGATATATCTATAACATTATGTAATGTTTCTAGCTGAAAAATCGCATTTCCTACTCATAGAAAAATATTCAGCATTGCCGCGCTCGCCCACATTTTGTAGTACCATGCACACAAATATAAAAAAGAAAAAATATTTTTCACGTGAGTTTATTAAAAAATATCGTGTTTTATCATTTTCTAGGCTTCCTGTATGACATTTCGGAATTGTACGATCTCGGGTTTTACATGGCTGGATCGATGATTGCAATCAGTGGTTTTATGCTGTACGTCATACCACCGATCCAAAAGAGAATCATGTCAAAAGACGAGAAGATGCAGAGGATAGTCGCGCTTCCCTAGAAATTTATCAAATTAGATGATTTTTCGAGTTTAAGACTGCGCGAGTCTTTTTTTACTTTGGTTACGTTTTTTTTTTTTTT